CGTTCTCGCGCTCTCGGTTACCCCCTACGGCCTCGTGAAAATTTTGGCGGATAAACTATTAACTCGAATCACGGAAAGATATTCATCGTTCAAGGTTTCGAATTCAGCTTTCATGCGCTGGTGCGCGAAATTTTTAACTGTTTTCCAATGTTTAAACTATTTTTGCATAGACTAAAGAACAAAGCAGTGAAAATCATTAACACAATCGTTCGATCGGCTGAATTGCACAAAACGAATGATCGCACCGGCTAGTCTGGTGCGCGTTGCCATTTATTCATTTCGAGACCTGCAAAAACTACAAGGCTGAAACTTTGGGAAATTAATCTACGTGCATGTGCGAACTTCTTTCCCTAAAACGGACACTCTTACCCACTTAGTTCCCACCTACTATCGCGTGAAAGTTTTTGGCGGGAAAATCGCTAACTAGGGAACCAAGAAGCTGGGAGGCTGAAATTTTAAGGGAATGTTCTCACCCCATGTACAACTTAAAGATTTTAAACTGAGGCTCCAGGAGTGCGTGGTTCTCGTGTGCAGCGACATGAAATTTTTTGGCCGGAAAATTGTTAATTCGGAAAATAGAAAAGCTAGCAAGTGGAAATTTCGAGGAGATGTCTCCTGACCAAGCACCACGTAGTTGCATAACTTCCTGAACTTCGAAGACCAGTCTGCCATGAATTCTAGCTACTGGAACTCTAAGCGATCTTACTACAGCACGAAATATAGCATAATAATAAATAACAACGCGCACCAGAATAGTCGGAGCGATCATGCGTTTTGCAATTCAGCCCATCGAACGATTGCTTATTAATGATTATCACTGTTCTGCACTTTTGTCTATGCAAAAATAGTTCAAACATTGGAAAATAGTTAAAAATTCCACACGCCAGCGCATGAAAGCTGAGTTCGAAACCTTGAAGGATGAATATCTTTATCCCGAGTTAATAGTTTACCCGCCAAAATTTCCATGAGGCCATAAGTGATACGCACGAGCGCAGTAAGGCTGAATTTAAATAGGCAAGGTTGAGCGTGAGCAAGGGGTCATTACTCTAAAATTTCAGCTCCTTAGACCCCGTGGTACCCGAGACAATTTACCTATAAAAAATTTAACTAGCCCGTAGGTGATACCCGAGAGGGCGGGAAGGTTGAATTTGAATGTGCAAGGTTGAGCGTGAGCAGGGAGTCATTATCCAAAAATTTCAGCCTCCCAGACCCCGTTGTTCCTGAGATATTAATTTACCCGTAAAAAACTTTCACGGAGCCATATGTTTTACCCGCGGGTACGGGAAGGCTGAATTGAAATTTGCGGAGGCAAACGTAGGTGGGGAACGTTTCCTTAAATTTTCAACTTCCTAGCTTTTGTGGTTACCGAGTTGAAAATTGCGGACAAGTTGCTGCGGCCACACACACAGACAACCCGTGACAATATGCGTTTTGTACTGCTGTTACACAGTACAAAACGCATAAAAACCCGGGCTGGAACATAGCGGGCGGGCCCGCGCGATCATGCGTTTTTGCACCGGACTTAAATTACTCAGGTCATTTACTATATGAATGGCTGTTGCTTTACACTTCCCTTTTGCAGTCACCAGCATAAATCATTATAAATTTTGCAAAGTAAATGTATAATTTCCATTTAACAGCCGTTCTTTAAAAGTAACCTAGTTGTTCAGTGAGAAACTTTTGCGTCAGGACTTTCAAGCGCTCGTACTTAAGAACCACGAATATCTGAACGCTGAATTTGAAATATTTAAGTTGTACTTGGACATGGAACATCCCCTCAAAATTTCAGCTTTCTAGCTTTTCTGGTTACCGAGTTAGCAGTTTTCCCACCAAAACCCTCACACACCCGTACTTGGGTACTCCACGTGTTTGGAAAGCTGAATTTGAAATTTTTAAATTGCACTATGGACAGGGAACATCGGCCTAAAATTTTAGCCTTCCAGCACTTCTGGTTGCCGAGTTAGTAATTTTCCTGCAGAAACTTTCATACACCCTTACGTGAGTACCATGCATAGCTTGGGGCTAAATTTGAAATATTTGAGTCGTACTTTGATAGGGAACACTCCTGCAAAGTTTCAGCTTTCTATCTTTCCTGGTACCCGAGTTAGCAATTCTCCCCCTAAAACTTTCATAGGCCCTTACGGAAGCTGAATTTGAAATATTC